TACCGTGCGATACCGATTAAATTTCAAGGAGTCACCATCAAAGTCGATCTCTATGCACTACCCTTGGTGGGACTCGATGTTGTGTTAGGAGTAAAATGGCTCGAGGGATCAGGAAAGGTGACCACCGAATACTGGACGGGAGTCATGGAGTTTAACTCTTGAGAGCACCGGGTCACGTTAAAGGCAAGCAAGGACGGTGGGACTAAAGAGGTTGGTCTCAAGAGTATAGAGCAGGTTTGGCATGTGGCCGGCCAAATCTTCACCGTCGAGGAGACAGGCACAGTCGAGCCAGTCAAGTACAAGGAACTCCCTCTGTTCGACGACTACTTCGAAGAGGACGAGCAAGTCTCGATGGATTATGATAGCCCATCTATTTTCGACATATACCCCGAGGATGAACATGATGTCAAAGAAGTCGAGGAAACTAAGGTCGAAGGCAAGGTGCAAGAGGTTTGGACGATCGAGCTGCAGAAATCCAAGATACGCGAGTTGGTTAGAGCAACCGACCACGTACTAAGCAAGTCTGACAAAGAAGAAGGCAGGATCGACGAAAAGTGTAAGGAGCCTATTCTTCCGTTTGAATTCTTGAAATATTTTAAGAACTCAACGGCCATGATGTACGAGGGCGAGTCAACGGACTATGAAGGACCACCTATTTTCGATGTATACCCCGATGAGAACTTTGTCGAGGTTGAAGGAATTTTGGTCGAAGTCAAGAAGAAGATATTGAACGTGATCGAAAAAGACTGCAGTAAAGAGACGCATGATGTGAACGAGGTGAGAACGCCCCAATTAATGGTCGATGACGAGTCATTTAGGACAAGGACATTCTTGAAGGGGGCGGGAATGATACGGAAGTGGGTTTTGAGCCCTGAAGATGAGAAGGTCCGAAGGCCGATACTATCCGAGAAGGCCAAGCAAAGGGCCGGAACAAGGCTTGCATGGCCTAGGAAATGTGCACGAGCCTGTATACGAGGGTGCCGACATGCACAATGGCATAGGAGGTCGAGCAAGAAGCTCAAG